CACCACCCTTATGGCAGAAAGTGAAGAGGAACTAAAGAGCCTTTTGATGAAAGTGAAAGAGGAGAGTGAAAAAGTTGGCTTAAAGCTTAACATTCAGAAAACTAAGATCATGGCATCTAGTCCCATCACTTCATGGGAAATAGATGGGGAGACAGTGGAAACAGTGTCAGACTTTATTTTGGGGGGCTCCAAAATCACTGCAAATGGTGATTGCAGCCATGAAATTAAAAGATGCTTACTCCTTGGAAGGAAAGTTATGACCAACCTAGATAGCATATTAATAAAAGCAGAGACATTACTTTGCCAACAAAGGTCTGTCTGGTCAAGGCTATGGTTTTTCCAGTGGTCATGTATGGATGTGAGAGTTGGACTGTGAAGAAAGCTGAATGCTGAAGAATTGATGCTTTTGAACTGTAGTGTTGGAGAAGACTCTTGAGAGTCCCTTGGACTGCAAGGAGATCCAACCAGTCCATCCTGAAGATCAGCCCTGGGTGTTCATTGGAAGGACTGATGCTGAAGCTGAAACTCCAGTACTTTGGCTACCTGCTGTGAAGAGTTGACTCATTGGAAAAGACCCTGATGCTGAGAGGGATTGGGGGACGGAGGAGAAGGGGACGACAGAGGATGAGATGGCTGATGGCATCACCGACTCGATGGACATGGGTTTGAGTAAGCTCCGGAAGTTGGTGATGGACAGGGAGGCCTGGCGTGCTGCGATTTATGGGGTCGCAAAGAGTCGGACACGACTGAGCAACTGAACTGAACTGAACTCCTTAAACCTTCTTAGTGGTATTAAGCCCTTTATCCAAGGGTTAAAAGAGAAGAGGCTTAAGATGAGGATAGGCAGGCCAGAGACAGCTTTTGCTGGGAGAGGAACACAGACGGGGGAGACCTTGTCTGTGGAAGCTGGGGTGCAGTAAGAGGGCATCCCAAGCTGAGCGGGGCTGGGTCAGGGTTTCACGGCACCAGGAATGCAGGCTTAGACCACTGAGCGCCCCCAGCCCCTCACAGCTTCACAGTCACGGCTCCCGCCGTCATCCGAGGGGTCCTCTGGGGTCTTCAAGCCCATGTCTCCTTCTCAGGGCTCCCGCTCCCTGTTACTTCACCTCCTGATTCCCTCACCATATGTGGCTTATGTGGAGGCTGTTTTTCCCCTTGAATTTAATTAACTTTGAAACCAACAAAGGTTGCACGCACGGCACCCAGGGTGGAGTTTGGCTGTGTGACAGCAGGAAATCCAATTATAATTGTAGAACTGGGGAGAAAGATGGGCTGATGAGATGTGGAGTGATGCATTGGCAGGAGCCCCCGGAGTGTCGGTGGGCTGAGGCTCTCGCTCCCCACCCGGGAGGGCCCGTCCTGGCCTGGCTTGGGCAGCCCCACGCCCTGAGGCTCTCGTCCTCACGGACTCCCTACACAAGCAGGCATCCAAAGCATGCGAGCGTGGGAGCTGCAACCAGGCAGAGAATTACTCATCTTGGCTTCGTGCCATTATTTCCTTCCCTTTCTCATATTAAAATATTTTGAGTTTCTAATCCATTAGCAGGAGATATGCACTCGTGATACTTGCAGAGTCTCTGAAATGTTTAACTGAGAACAAAAATAGCTCTTCTCGCTGGATAGAAAAGCATCGGGAAGTCACAGGCGCTCCATCCTCAAGGGGTCTGAGCAGACACGGTTCCCACAGGGTGCCCTTTACAGCCGTGTCGGTGCTTTGTTGCCTGAAGACAGGGGAACGCCGGGCTTCCCGGAATGTTCACGTGTGACGTGAGCACGGGGTCCCTTGGACACTCTGCTCCCCCGGACGGGGTGTCGAGGCCTGGGAGGTCCACATGCTGGGCTGGCTGTGATGGCGGGCAGGAGCTGTGGGCAATGGTAGGTGGGTGTCGGAGCCCCACCCGCCCTCCACGCCCAGGAGGCCAGGCACTCTCCGGCTGTGCCCCTGGCCCGTCTGGGAGGACGTGTGAGGTGACAGGGGCCGGGCTGTCGTGGGGCTGTCCTCGCTCCTGGTCAGAACAGGGTCATCAGAACAGGGCTGGGACACTCGTCTCTACAGGGAAAGTCTTCAAGCTGGGGTTAATGCTACACAGTTTAAGGCTCACTCGTAGAACGCTGACGGGATGGTCCCCGGTTTGGACACCCTTATATCGTGGAACAGCAGTTTGGAACCTGAGACGGCTCACAGGCCCGTTAGATGTGGCTGGTCCTGATTCCATTGGTGGTCTCTGACCTGCCTGGGGGCCAGGCCACCAGCAAGCCCGCGGGCCATGGCACTCAGCTTGTCCTGGGGGATGGGGCCGACGGTGGAAGTGGTGAATGCCACTCAAGCCACAGGCTCAGCACTGGGGCCCCACCTTCTCTGTGCTGCAGCCATGGGGGCTGCAGGGGGCCTCCCGGCCACCCCTTCTCTGTGGGGTCCCTGCAGAGCACCCCAGGGCGCAGGTCCAGGTTGGGTCTGTGGACGGGTCAGCAGCCCTGGCCTGGCTGCCCAGGTGGGTCCCAGCGCATCTGGGCAGCTGCCCCCCATGCGGGGACCGGGGGGCTCAAGAACTGCCCCCGAGGAGGGCTCAGATGGACTGACTCTCGTCAGGATGCCGGGGGCCCTGGCCACACCACATTGTTCTTCCAAACCTCAGTTTCTCCATCTATAAAGTGGGCCATCCCCTGGTAAATGAGGTGAGGGGTGGGCAAGGGGTCACTGAGCACAAACCTGCAGTCAGAGGGGTAGGCTCGGGGCCTCCCCAAGGCGAATGGAGCCTGTGAGGGGCTGCTGAGGCCCCGTGCCCGGCGCAAGCAGGAGAACCTCACATATGTCAGCAAGGCCCGCACGGCACGGGCACCCAGCCGCACCCCAGTCACCCTCCCCGGCCACCAGTCATGGCTCACCAGGCTGATCCCAGTTAGAGGGGTACACGTGAAAGTACAAGGTGCTGCTTTTTTAGGTTTCCCTGATCCCACAGGAGAGGAACCGGCTTCAGATTACAGACTTGGTGAGGCACGCAAAGGAAGCCCCTCGGTCATCCAGGAAAGTAACGGGCAGCAAGGTCCCTGTGGGTCTCACTTGAGGGGCAACAGGGGTGAGACTGACATGGGGGGCTGTGGGCTGAGGGGCGGCTGGCGGGAGGTGGGCCTCAGCCCCACAGACAGGCTTCTGCCACGGTTCTCTGGGCTCCTGCTTGGGCAGCAGACAGCCCCCAAGCTCTTTAAATGAGCCCCACACCCAACGCGTGGACTGTGTGGATCACAATAAACTGGAAAATTCTTCAAGAGACGGGGATACTAGACCACCTGACCTGCCTCCTGAGAACTCTGTATGCAGGTCAAGAAGCAACAGTTAGAACTGGACATGGAACAACAGACTGGTTCCAAACTGGGAAAGGAGTATGTCAAGGCTGTATATTGTCACCCTGCTTATTTAACTTATGTGCAGAGTACATCATGAGAAACGCTGGCCTGGATGAAGCACAAGCTGGAATCAAGACTGCCGGGAGAAATATCAGTAACCTCACATATGCAGATGACACCACCCTTATGGCAGAAAGTGAAGAGGAACTAAAGAGCCTTTTGATGAAAGTGAAAGCGGAGAGTGAAAAAGTTGGCTTAAAGCTTAACATTCAGAAAACTAAGATCATGGCATCTGGTCCCATCACTTCATGGGAAATAGATGGGGAGACAGTGGAAACAGTGTCAGACTTTATTTTGGGGGGCTCCAAAATCACTGCAAATGGTGATTGCAGCCATGAAACTGAAAGATGCTTACTCCTTGGAAGGAAAGTTATGACCAACCTAGATAGCATATTAATAAAAGCAGAGACATTACTTTGCCAACAAAGGTCCGTCTGGTCAAGGCTATGGTTTTTCCAGTGGTCATATATAGATGTGAGAGTTGGACTGTGAAGAAAGCTGAACGCCGAAGAATTGATGCTTTTGAACTGTGGTGTTGGAGAAGACTCTTGAGAGTCCCTTGGACTGCAAGGAGATCCAACCAGTCCATCCTGAAGGAGATCAGCCCTGGGTGCTCACTGGAAAGACTGATGCTGAAGCTGAAACTCCAGTACTTTGGCTACGTGCTGTGAAGAGTTGACTCATTGGAAAAGACCCTGATGCTGGGAGGGATTGGGGGACAGAGGAGAAGGGGACGACAGAGGATGAGATGGTTGGATGGCATCACCGATCCGATGGACATGAGTTTGTGTAAACTCTGGGAGTTGGTGATGGACAGGGAGGCGTAGCGTGCTGAGATTCATGGGGTCGCAAAGAGTCGGACACGACTGAGCGACTGATTTGAACAGAATACCCGAAGCTGGCAGGGAGCACACGTCTGAACCAGCCCCGACCTGGGGTTCCTAAGGCTCTTCCCTATCCACACAAGGTCATGGCACTAGTGACGGGGCCCAAGGGGAGACAGTGGGCTGTTTTTCTGGTGGTAAAGAAAATATCCCCCCATCATGAGCCACAGCTGGGTGAGCGTGCCGGAGCTGGGGAGTTCACAGAAGTCCCAGGGCAGGCTTTAGCGGAGCTGCAGCCGTTCCTGAAGGAGGGGTTCTTCTTGCCCCTCACCTTCCCCGGGCCAAGTCTGGACCTGGCCTGAGAGCATCACAGCAGGTGCTGAGCCTGGGCAGTCCCGGCCAGGCACACCGGCTCTACGTCTGCAGAGATGCTCCAAGCTTGGCCCCACCCCTGCTGTTGGCTCAAGGCTAAGAAAACCTCCTCACAGCTTCTCAAGAGCCTGTATTGTGGCGACATCTCCAAGGGAACAAGAAACCCTCGCGGCAGAAAGGACACGCGTTACAGCTGGGCTCAGCAGGCACCACCACTCTGGGGTCACCTTCCAGACACAGCAGGCTGGCGAGGCCTCCCCACCCCAACCTTGCAGATCCATCACGGTTCCTAAGCCCAGGCAGCTGAGCTGAAATAGGGGCCTGGCTGGATTTGACATGGAAGGAGACGTGAACAAGTGCCCCGCGGGGAGCCGGCAGGAGGGGAGGCCGGGCGCTTACCTTGCTCTCATCCTCAGGGTCGCTGTAGCCACACGCGTCCATGAAATCCGGGAATGTCTCTGACCACCCGTCACTGGTGCAGTTCTTGCTTATGTTTCCTGGAAAGTGAACGCCACGGGTCTGAGCTGCGTGTCCAGGGCCTGCACCTGCGCCTCGGGGCCTCTCTCTGCCTCAGGCCAGCGAGGGTCGGGGCCTGGACCAGGGCGCCCGCTGCTCAGGGCCTCCTGAGCCCTGGAACCCGGGCAGTGGTCCTGCAGTTCGGGGGCCTCACTGGCTGGAGGGCGCAGGCTCTCTGACAAAGCACGGGCACGTGATGGCATTCCCGTGGGACGAAGTTAACAGTGTGCTCTGATGGCCGCAGAGCAGAGTGGAAGTAAACGGCTTGTATCCTGTCGAGTGAGACGTGTCTGCAGCCAGACCCCGATCACCCTGTCCTGCTGGCTGGAGTCGGGAACAGAGAAGAGCATTGGCAGAGCAGGGCGCGGGGCTCTTTGTAACTCTGCAACCCTGATGTCTCATGAGGAGGCTCTGCGACGATCCCCCATTGTGGATGAGAAACCTGACGCTTAACGAAGGTGGCCCACTGGCCCAAAGCTCCACAGCCGACAGCAAGCGACCCTTTTCAGGGCTGGGCAGTCACCTCCTCAAGTGCACAGCATGCTTGTGGCCCACCTGCCCTTGGGACCGTACCCTGAGCTCTGGACGGCCGGGGGGCGGGGCCGTGAGGGGCGGGGCGGGGCAGTGAGGGGCGGGGCGGGGCGGGGTGAAGAGAAGCAGGCGCACAGTTAGAGCATCTCCCCACCGGGGTCTATGAGAACCTTGCTCTCTGGGGGACTCGCTGTGGGACCTCCCGCCGCTGCGGGGCCCCGTATCTCCAGGCCGCTCCCTACTCTGGCCGTGCTGAGTTGCTGTTCATGGCGGTCTCAGCACAGTGGTGACAGGCACCCCCACTCAGCCCCCCCAAAGCTGACTGCACACCCTTCATGGCTCAGAGGGCAAAGAGTCCACCTGCTATGCAAGAGACATGGGTTCGGTCCCTGGGTCAGGATGATCCCCCGGAGGAGGGCATGGCAGCCTGCTCCAGCATTCTTGCCTGGAGAATCCCATGGACAGAGGAGCCTGGGGGTCAGTACAGTCCTTAGGGTCTCAAGGAGTCAGACATGACTGAGCGGCTAGCACTTTTCCCACACTTATCCTTGCCGCTGAATGCATGGTTGAGCGTGACCATCCCGTAGGGGCTGTGGTCCTGAGCACTGACAGCTGGGCTCAGACCCTGCTCTGAAGGGTCCTGGTTCAGGGGTTAGGCTGGAACGGTGGCGGGCTCTATGAGGCGCTAGCCCCTGGGAAGAGCTCCCAACCGGGTCCTGTTCAGGCTTGGAGTCAGGGGCAGGTCAGAGCCCTGCAGCCCTCTGAGGACCAGCCCCACAGCTTCTAGAGAGAAGTGGGCAGAACGCAGGGCTGGGCCCTCTTGCTGCTGGATGCACAACACAGCACCTTCCCCCCACGGGGGAGACCCACGAGGGCCTTCGTCCATTCATCAGAACAGATCTCAGAGTCCTTGAACCTGGTCCTTCTGCACCTGGAGGTTTGACACCGCCCCTTTCAAAGACCTGCCTTGGAGTGACACCCAGCCCGGCTCCCCGCCCAGAGGCAGAGTCTCTCGTGGCCCATTCCCACCCCCATCCTAGCCCTGCTTGGGGGGACCTCCCACGGGCCCCAGGTCCCACTGGCTTGTGGACAGCACAGCAATGTGCTACTTGCCATGACAACGTGCACCAATGTCTGAAGAGACCCCCCAATTTCCCACCTACAACTTGTTTTTTAAAATAAAAAACAGGTGTATTTCTCAAACATCTCGGTTTTCAGGGTCTGTGTGCAGAGCAAGCCCCGGGAGGAGGCAGCCCCCAGCCCCACGAGCACCTCCTGCAGGTGTTCACGGGCTGAGAACCCAGAGTCGGTCCAGGAAGGGAGATGCTTCCTTCCAGAGAGAGAGTGTGTTCCCGGCCAGCAAGGGACACCCTGGAGGACACGCTCTGAGGGCCACAGGTCCCCAGGTGAGACAGGTGTTCCTGTTCTCCTCCTGCCTGCTGCCCGTGGCCCCTCATCTGCCCTGGGCTCCCACGTGTCGGGCTCCTGCTCCAGGTCTCCCGTCCGAGCCCTCTGCGTGTGCTGTGGGTGGACGGCCTGGCGGCAGGCATTCTGTCCTCCCAAGCTGTAAGGCAAGGTCAGCACAGCTGCTTCCTGACCCACTGGGTCATGGACACCAACGCCCTGCTGGTTGTGCCTCCATGGAGAAGTCGGTCCCTGCGACCAAACCCCCAAAAAGCTCAAAGATGGCAGCACGGACAGTACCTGGTTTGCTGTAAAAATTGCTGAACAGTTTTGGACAGGGCACCGTGACGGTCTCGCCAACATCCGCGGGGCGCCAGCAAGTAATGTTGTCCCAGACGCCGCTGCAAGCTGGAGGGGAGACAGGGGTGAGCGAGGCCCGCTGCCCACCTCGGGCAGCTCCCTCGGGCCGCATGCGCCCCTGAGCGGTGGGGCCAGATCTGCCCTGAAGCTTTGCAAATAGAAAGCCTATCAATTAGATAATTATACTGCAAGTCATTCTCCTGTGAAACAAACTCGCACCACAATATTATTGAGAACATGCTTGGCACGGGTTCACTGTGATCAGCTTTGCAGACGTGAGTGAGTGTGAAGGGAAGAATCTCAGGCACCCAGTGTGCGCTGTGCACTTTTGAATTTCACTAGAATCAGTACTTTTTCCCGATGATGTGCTCGTCCCTGTGACAAGTGGGCGCCACCCGGCATCTGTGTAAGTCTGGGAGGTGAGGGTCCCCTGAGGCACACACACTTGTGCTTTTATGGACTCTGACTTCAAGGACAATTTGCAAATTTAAATATTTGATAAGATTTAGTTGATTGCAGCAGTCAAGATGATATATTGGTGATGAAATTTTAGGCTACCTTCGTGGAGCTACCTAATAACTTAATTAGCACAACGTTAAAGCCTAGAACATTTTTCAGATCTCTTATTTTGCGTAATAACCACCCCATGAGGGTAATTCATACAAGCATTGCATCATCTCACCAACAAACAGCGCTGAGGTTCAAACACTGCAAGGACCTCTCAACGTCAAACAAACAGAAAATGAATCCCTGAACCCAGGGGTTTTTTACTACAAGTTGAAGGTATTTCTACCATATTTTGTGACCTCTAAAATTTTACATTTCAGTTAAACTTCAGTATTGGAGGAGCAGTGTGCCAGCTTCAGTTAAAACAAAGAAATAACAGTTCTGCTCTCTGACGTGCCATCCAGACCTGTATGATAACCATGATGTAGTTTTGGTTTGACCACAAGAATGTTTTACTTCTATGAAAACAGATAATGAAAAGTTGGCTCCAAACCAAGTTTTGCAAAAAAGTTGAAAATATCCTTCTAAAGGTTTTTACAAATAAAATGAAAATGTGTGTGCTTAGTCACTCAGTCCTGTCCGATTCTTTGCTACCTGATGGACTGTAGCTCACCAGGCTCCTCTGTTCGTGAGATTCTCCAGGCAAGAATACTGGAGTGGGCTGCCATTTCCTTCCCCAGGGGATCTTCTTGACCCTGGAATCGACCCCGGGTCTCCTGCATTGCAGGACGATTCTTTACCATCTGAGCCACCAGGGAAGCCCCAAATGAAAATACACTCATCCTACAAACTGAATTACACCCCAAAGATTGAGGACATAAATTCATACTACAGTAGCTTACATATTTAAAGAAAATGTTGCTTTCTGAAAAATTACTTAGAACAAGTCATCAAGGACAAAGATGTCAGTAGAAACCCTCGCCCAGTTGGATGGACAGTGCGGCCTGCGGGCCTGGGGCCATGTGGGTGAGCAGGGGACAGTGGTGGGGGTTTACCTGGGCAGTGAGTCTGAGCACAGACGACAGATAACGACATTCGCGCCACTCTCTCCACCTTCCAAACCTCATGAAAATGACAGTCAAGAGATCAGAGGGGGCAGTTCCTAGAGCCCATAAAACTTTGAAGACAGACAGCACGTGTGTTTTAAAGACTCAGGCAGAGCAAAGGGGGCGAAGAAGAGCCCGCAGGAGGAGGAAAGTGGGCAGTGCCCTTGAAGGGGCCTGGACCCCAGGACACGGGGCTCGGTGGACTAAATTTGGAAGAATCACATTGAGTGTGAATTCTGAACTCTGGGAGCCCAGCCTCCTGCAGCCTGCCAAGTGTTTCTGGAAGCGCTGCTTAGGCCACCTGCTGGAGGCCCCAGGCAACCAGGCCACCTGAGACGGGCGGAGTCGCTCTGAGAACGGCAGTTGGGGACCACCCGGTGTTAGCTTGTCCGAGAGAAGCTTCTCTTGTTCTGGTGCAAAGTCTGATGCTAACTGTTGAGAGATATGGGGCTTCCTAGGTGGCGCTAGTGGTAAAGAGCCCACCTGCCAATGCGGGAGACTAAGAGATTCGGGTTTGCACCCTGGGTTGGGAAGATCCCCTGGAGAAGGGCATGGCAACCCCTGCAGTATTCTTGCCTGGAGAACCCCATGGAGAGAGGAGCCTGGCAAAGCTTTCTTTCGCAAAGCCAGATTTCCAGACATTCCCAGCCGTCATTCTCACCTCTAACTCTGTGGCTGCTTAGCAATTCACTTTCCTAGTTTTTCCAAAGCACACGAATTGGTTTTCCCAGAAACAAGTGCCTTTTGGTATCTGTCAGCTTACATACTGTTTAACTAAGCAGTTGGTTGAGTAGCAGATGTGGGCGGTGACGATTCATTCTAAGCTCGGCAAAGTGGTCCCAGCGGTTGCAGGGAGGAGGTGGCGGGGAGTTGTGAGCAAAGAGCCTCCCGCCAGGGTCACTGGAAAAGAAAGCATAGGAGCCTAGTGGACCCTGGTGCTGGGGGCTTCCTAAGCTCCTCTTGGGAGGGCAGCTTAGTGCCCTGAAAACAACCCTCTATGACCAAGCGGTTCAGGAAAACTGACCTTGCGCAGGGTGCAGCATCCAGACAACCCCGACACTTCACGGCATCTCATACAGAAAATACGCGAGACAGTGATGAATTTCACTGCAAGGGCTGCGGTCAGAACACGTGCCTATAAATGTGCCGGAGCTCCAAGGGGACAGTGGGAACTCACCCGCCAGACAAGAGTCTTAAGCAGGGGGACCCACCATCATGGAGAGAACCCTAATCCCCTTGTTCCCAAAAACCGACTTTCTCCCAGGCTGTCTGTGGGCAAGCCACACTACCACAGATGAGGGTATCTGTGTTGAGTCCTGGATTTATCTTCTCATTATTTCAATGATATAAACATCACTTTCCAGAAAACCACGTGGGTGTCACTACTCAGGTCTCGCAGTTTCTCTCGGCAGAGCTTTCATAGGCACTGTGTCTCCTGCTCCCGGGTGCACACGGGGAGGTCAGGGCCAGAACCCCGTCTGGCCACCACCACCCTGACCCCTGCAGGCCACGTCCCCACTGGTGGTTTGTGGTGGGGGCCTGGACACAGAGCCAGAGGCGCGTCTGAGTCCGGGTGAGCGTGTGGACAGAGGACGGCCCCGGGCACTGACTCGGGGGCTGAGGGCTGAAGTCTAAGGCAGGCTCTGACTGCACGGACATGGCTGCCTACCCTCTCTGGGTGAGGCTCCTGGGGCGTCCCCAGCAGAGGCCGGGCTCTGCTCCATCCTTGTTGCTGGGAGAGGAATCCAGTCCCCAGCCAACACCAAGGCAGAGAGAGATAGCACGGCAGCGGGACCGCGGGTACCCAGGGACCCTGGCAGACTGGAGGTACCTATGCAGCAGGGAGGTGCCCGGGTGGGCGGGGGGAGGTGCTCGGAAGGCATGGGGTGGTGGAGGAGGGTCCCACCCCCACCAGGAGAGCCGGGGAGGGACTCCACTCCACAGCCTGGCAGACCAGCAGGGGGCAGAGGGACCAGCACCCCGGTCACCTCGCTCCAGACGGGGTGTGGGGAAGGGGCTACAGGACCAGGGATGTGGGAAAGGAAAATGAAATATGCCTATTTCCGGCACTAAGGTGCGAGGTCTGGCAGCAGCTAGGGCCACCAGTACCACCTTCCTTTCATAGGTTTAGTTTAAAGTTGAAGTCACCAGTGGCCGGAATCAGACGCTGCAGGCACGTGCTAGAAGCGCCCCCGGACTCTGAGACGAACTGAACTGAACCTCAGTCCACAGATGGCAGGGCCCATGAGGCCTGGGGTGTCCCCTCGATGGGCTGGCCTTGCTCAGAGAAGCCAGAGAAACAGCACTTCTTGCTCTCTGGCCAGACCTTGTGTGGAATGTACTATGGCCAGAATGTCAAGGGCTCTAAGGCTCGCCTGAGAGACCAGGGAGGAGGCTGGAGCTCTGGGACTGCCCTGCGTCTGGCCGTGGACGACACCATCAGAGGGCAGGTCTCCCCTCAGTCCAGGCTGGTGGTGGGGCCGCCAAGGGGCAGTGGACAGCGTGCCAGGTCCTTCCCACCCCCCACCCCAGGACTCACTGTTACTGCCCACACCCAGAGTCCTGCTTTGATTCTCCCTCTGGCACAGCTCAGTTTTTAAGGTTCCTGGAGGTTCTCACGTGCACCCAGGGCTCAGACCCACTGTCTTGCAGGGCAGGCGCCAGAAGGGACCTTGAGGTCACGAGTACAGGTGCTGATGAGGGTCCCGGGGCTGCTGCCCCTGGGAACTTGCCAGAAAGTTCCTGGGTCCCATCCCAGGCCACCAAGCCAGAGACCCAGGGTGGCCCCACAGCCCCGAGATGGTACTTAGCAGTTCAGGGACAGATGCAGCCCCACCCCCGCCCAGCACAGGAAGGGAGGTGGGCTTGGAACCCCTGCAGCTCAGCAAGCCTGGTTTCCCCTGTAAATGGGGGAGTGGGGGAGTGCCAGAGGCCTATGTGGCAGGTACCAGGGTCCGCGTGGCCCAGGGAGCCCAGAGTGGCCGTGGGGCACCTCCTGGAGTGATAGCAACACGGGCTCCCAACACCTCCGCAGACCTGGGGGTCTGTGCCCGATGACCACCCCATCACTTGAGCCCGCTGGGGAAAGGGCTGCCCAGGAGGAGTTCTGAGAGCAACAGGGGGCAGCATGCTACGCCCGGGGGCCGGCTCTGCCCTCAGAAGCTCATCTCATCCTGAGACCCAGGGAGCTGGGCGGGGGTGGCTCCCCAGTCTCAGCTCATGGATATGTATGTGGAGGCCAACATCTGCTGGATCATCGAAAAAGCGAGAGAATTCCAGAAAAACATGTACTTCTACTTTACTGACTATGCCAAAGCCTTTGACTGTGTGGATCACAACAAATTGTGGAAAATTCTTCAAGAGATGGAAATACCTCACCTGCCTCCTGAGAAACCTGTATGCAGGTCAGGAAGCAACAGTTAGAACTGAACATGGAACAACAGACTGGTTCCAAATTGGGAAAGGAGTACATCAAGGCTGTATATTGTTACCCTG